AGTGATAGAAGGTTACCTTCACTAGCTGTAGTGATAGAAGGTTTACCTTCACTAGCTGTAGTGATAGAAGGTTTACCTTCACTAGCTGTAGTGATAGAGGGTGGGACTTGCTGTGCCTGCCTGGCGGCCTCCATGGACAGGAACATGGGGTGGTTGAGTGACATGGCGGGGCCGGGTCTCATCCCGCCGGCGTGCTGTGCGGCCACCGCGACCGCAGCTGCAGCCACAGAAGCCTGCGGAGAGGCTAAAAAGGGAGCAGAGTCTAATCAGTTCTTCACCTTAAGGCCACACCAATTAAGCTGTGGTCCACTGTTCATTGTGCTTTTTATGAATAGTTTCATCAGGTTGGTAAGTCACTGAATAAAGAGACTCATTTTACACAACCAAGTGACCAGACCAGTCAGAATTGCCCTGAGAAGGGCGACAGGCCGTCACCCCTTTTCTTTCCAAACCACCTCACTTACTATTTTTTAGTCTTTCAATGAATCTGTAAGCTTAAGTACCATATGTAGCATGTCTTCTCTGTCACTACCAGTGGGAGATTAACTCATTGAGCTGAAACTGGATTGAGATCATCTTTCCTTTCCTCTCAAACTGTAGGAAGAACTATCTCAGCTATTACATGTACATTATCTGCTAACTACTATCTACTATCGACTACTACTACTACTACTACTATTACTACTTCTCAGTGATACTCACCGACAAGAGGTCTGATAGCAGAGGCTGAACATGAGATAGGAGTGAAGTGTGCTGCAGCCTGGGCGGCCTGGTACGTGTGCATGGCCATGGCAGCCTGCGCCGTGTGGTGAGGGTACCGCAGCGCCGCCGCTGGGTCGTAGTAGTACGCCGGCGTGATGGTGGTGTACGGAGGGGTGTGCAGCGGCAGGCTGGCCTGGGGAGGTCTGTGGGACAGCAGGAACTGTGACCTGCAGGTACAGTACAACATCAGCAACAGCAGACATGTACAGTACAACATCAGCAACAGCAGACATGTACAGTACAACATCAGCAACAGCAGCAACAGCAGACATGTACAGTACAACATCAGCAACATCAGCAACAGCAGACATGTACAGTACAACATCAGCAACAGCAGACATGTACAGTACAACATCAGCAACAGCAAACATGTACAGTACAACATCAGCAACAGCAGACATGTACAGTACAATATCAGCAACAGCAAACATGTACAGTACAACATCAGCAACAGCAGACATGTACATGTACAGCACAACATCAGCAACAGCAGACATGTACAGTACACACACACACGCGGGTAAGTTAGCATTGTTGGTCACCTGTCAGGCCTGCTGTCGCTGTGTGCAGCTGTAGAGACAGCCGTGTTGACCGGGTTGGGAGACCCTCGCTGTCTGGGGGGGAGAAACAGGCTGCTGGAGGCCGGCATGCCGGGGGGGTCCCCGCTGTAGTCCAGCAGGGGGCGCGGGGAGTGGGCCACAGGCTGGGGCAGGACTTTAGCTACAGAAAAACAACATTTCTGGTCAGAGGAACACTTTGCAGTGTTAGAAATACCCACCGAAAGTCAGCATTTTGCCGAGGCACTATCAATACTGAAGTAGAAAAATTAAGCAACCTGCAATTTTGCGAACTGAAAAAAATAAGGCTAGGGGTTCACTTTTGTGTTTACTACAGTAACTGACCGCATAATAATTTACTAGTGATTTTGCTTGTATGTAGAATTTGGTATAAGCTATGGGTTTAGGAAGATAAATGACTACATTTGCAGAATGTTGTTCCGAATTGGAGAGCAAAATGTTGACATGCTGCTATGACACTGAAAAATTTTCTACCGTCTTGCTTTGGTACAGTCAAACCTGGCCAAGTAGACCACCCAGGGGACCACTCAAATTTGGCCTACTTGAGCAGGTGGTCTATTTGAAGAAAATCAGACCAACGACCAAGACATCACAAAGATATGGCAGTTTACAAGTATTATCATATTACTAGTATTATGTATTACTAGAGCTGTGTACCTAAACAAATTTTAGGTACAGGTACAGGTACAGGTACACAGGTTTAGGTACAGGTCCGGACCTGAACCTGTACCTGAACAATTCGACCAATTTATATGCTCTTCTGAACTCCTTCAATAACAAAAAAACATAAATAAACTTGATAGTTAAGGTTTATTCTTTGTTTATGGCGAATGCTCAGATAAAATATAGGCTATATATATGTTTTTGTTTTCATGAACACACTGTCCTTACACAGGGACCCATTGTTAACCAGCTATTTACACATTTGCGGTCACAAATAGGCATAAAATTGGTGTGAAATTGTTTAGGTACAGTACCGGTACTGAGGGATTAGGTATTTTGGACCTGTACCTAATCAATTTTACCGGTACAGTATCGGTACTGCGTACCGGTACACAGCTCTATGTATTACTGTATAAACCATTATTGCATCATCATCAAAGTACTTTAGTACATGTATTTTATGACATCCTTTCTTGACTACAACATGCACACAAAAGTATAGTACTAGTGGTTGACAAACACATGAACAAGCAAAACACTGATGTACTTCCAGAAATAAAATATTTATTGCATAGAAGGTACATGTATTTGATTTTTATACAATCATGTACCACAGTAAAAAGCTTTGAAATTTCACAGCTTACTAGTATCTACACTTGGGTGTTTCTAAAACTTAGCCTACATTACGATTTAGAGGTTTTTACAGAAACGATAAGGCGTTCATTTTGTGCTACTACGGGACTTTTTCGAAAACAATGAGACGAGTTACAAAATTCAGCGTCACCCAAGCGTGCAGACAACAACAATCAAAATGGCGCCCCGGCGGCCAACTTCACATCGAGTTACAAACTATGAGAAATGAGGCAAAAATCTGCTTAATTCCGAGGTTGAAATACAATCAAAAGTTTACCGTCATTTGTACTACTGAAAATGTAAAAGCCCCAGTAGCGTGCTAGCACGTGCTACGACTAAGACGAATCGAAAATTTGGGAACCAGGCGTAGTGAAAGAAAATGGCGTCACATTTTTGCGAGTCAACTTTTACGGCAAAAAAATACAATTGAACGTTACTGTTAAAGGCTACAGTGTCTGTAGAACTTTCTCGATGTCACCCTGGATTCCATTACGCTCCCATCCTAGGGCGAAGACGCCGGGCTTCGCTGTAAGCTCGTCTGCGGCCCTGCACATGCAGCGGCGTGCAGCGGCATGGCGTGCCGCATGCAGCGGCTTGAAATTGTTAAAATCCCCACCGTCTGTATGAATCGTTCACCAGACCAGTTGTCGACCAGACTTTTTCTTCAAGTTAATTATGGCGTCCCCACGTTTGTAATTTTCCGAGACGCTTCTTTGGTACAATTAAACCGATCTTTCTCGAAGCTTGTGTGACTTGTTTACAAGATTCTCCACTTGGGATATTTCACCAGCATCATGGGTGAGCAGCTTGTTGAATAAAGAATAAAAACACCTTAAACTCCAAAAACTTTAAGCCCTCAAGTCAATATTAGTAAATATCATTTTCTTTTATTTAAACATCGTGGGCGACAAATAAATTTACATTTTGTACGGTAGATTGTACAGTAGAATCAAACTGCACGTCAAGTTTTCACCCATATTACAGTAGTCTGTTCCAATGACCCAACATCGTGACCCCCGGCGCCATCTTGAATCGCTCGGCCGGGCAAAACACAACGTAAACAGGCCGATTCTCCCCATAAATCCCCGCAAGTTTTTATTAAAAGTCGATATAGACACACTTTTAAAAATGATGCGGTCGTCATGGGAAGGTTTTGGTCGCGCGTGGTCCCGACTCGAGCTGGCCGCGGTCGCGTCAGGAAGGTGGTCTACTTGGGCAGGGTGCTTAATGCTTGTGCCTATGGGAAAATATTTTCGGGACCGGAGAAAACCGGTCTATTTGGCCAGTAGGTCGTCTTGACAAGGTGGTCGCATGGGCAGGTTTGACTGTATATCACATTAAAACTTAGATGTGAGTGGGTTATACAAGATTGTACATTTTGGATTGTGACACAACCATCAAAGTGTTTATGCTGTTACTAAACTTTATGTACTGGTAAGGCCACACCAATTTAATTTGTTGTTTCTCGAATTCGCCCTGTCCATTTTTTTCTGATTTGCAAGTAAAAAAAAAACTTTTTAGGTTCTTAATCAACTGCAAAATGCACAATAAAAGACATATTTTGGCTGGTACGGTTGAAGTTAGTCCAGGACCTCTTCTTCCTAGTTCTTTAAGTTTTTCAATGTAACAATTGAAAGCAACTTTCTTCCCTTTAAAGTTCAAAATATGTTGTTTTAATTATAAACCAGCCCGGTATGTTGACTTCATTGCTCATATTGTTACATTTCCAGCTATCACCGGGTGCCTAGGGCCTATTTTTTTTTATTTCGCCCTGTCGCTTCATATTTTTCCTGAAAAAAATCTGAGAAACAACAAGTTAAATTGCTGTGGCCTAAAATAAGCACGTCTGCGCGAAACACGTAATGTATTGTACATGGCACTTCAGCAGAACGTCTCATATAAGGTCGTACTAGCGCATATAAGGTTAACACCCCGTTTATAGTTTCCAAATGTTATGTAGGAAAATATATCCTTTGCAACAGGCAAAATTCTGATGCAACGTTGACCAAAAAGCCACCGAAAATCGTGAAAATACAGGGTTCTGCGTAGGCGCAGTACGTTCTGCCGACGTTCTCCTAAAGCACATCACCACTGAGACTGAGCCTCACCAATCGGGATGCTGGCTGACGACACAGCTGAGGAGTGGGAGGAGCTGGGGGAAAAGGTCACGGCTGACGCTGATGTGGACTGGTGCAGGGAGACCTGGGTAACTGTCGCATCTGTACAGCATGGGACAGCACACTGTTAGTATCCACCAGTACAAATTTTACTTTAGCATAGTAATTGTACATTAGTGCTGTAGTGGTGACAGTGGTTGCGTGTACCACCACTGTGACAGTGGTAGTGTGTACATGTGGGCTACAGTACTTACTCTGTGTGGAGACAGTGGTAGTGTGTACATGTGGGCTACAGTACTTACTCTGTGTGGAGACAGTGGTAGTGTGTACATGTGGGCTACAGTACTTACTCTGTGTGGAAACAGTGGTAGTGTGTACATGTGGGCTACAGTGCTTACTCTGTGTGGAGACAGTGGTAGTGTGTACATGTGGGCTACAGTACTTACTCTGTGTGGAGACAGTGGTCGTGTGTACATGTGGGCTACAGTGCTTACTCTGTGTGGAGACAGTGGTAGTGTGTACATGTGGGCTACAGTACTTACTCTGTGTGGAGACAGTGGTAGTGTGTACATGTGGGCTACAGTGCTTACTTTGTGTGGAGACAGTGGTAGTGTGTACATGTGGGCTACAGTGCTTACTCTGTGTGGAGACAGTGGTAGTGTGTACATGTGGGCTACAGTACTTACTCTGTGTGGAGACAGTGGTGGTGACAGTAGTAGTGTGTACCTGTGGGCTACAGTACTTACTCTGTGTGGAGACAGTAGTAGTAACAGTTGTAGTATGAGCCATCATGGGGGCTACAGTAGCGGCTGTGACAGCTGGCTTGTGCTGGGGCATGCCGATGACATGTGAGACCTGTAGTGACCTGGGGGGGAGGGTGGGGAGGTGTGGGGAGGCCGTCCCCTCCCCCCTCACCAATCCAACACCATGGGGAGGGAATACAGCTGCCCTGTAACATACAGTGTGCATGGGGGTTATGTACAGTCCCTGTTATGGCATGCAATACAATTTCAGGGCAGCAAAAATATTCTGGATGAGGAAATTGGTCTCATATTGACATTTACTACACATTTTATACTTGAATACATACAAGTTACATGTGACGTCTCTTTATTTGAGTACCACCCGGAAATAGCTGGAACCAGTCTACAATACAAAACAAGCAACCATTTTCCGTCAGCAACATCAGATTTTTAACACACAGGTACCAGTTTGCTATAGGATACGGTTGATTCAACTTACATGTACATACACGACTGGGCAGAAAATTGACTTTGAAAATGCTATTTTGCTGCCCAGAAATTGCATAGAATAAATTGTACATGAACCATTAGTCTCTAAAATTGTTGCATTCACACACAGAAATAGACAAGCATAATTTATCATAATCATAGTCGAACACCAAAATACAATGTTTTCTGAATTACTATCTTCAACAGCTGATCTTCAACAACGATTTTTATTCAATATTGCAATTGACAATCATACACCCTTTGTACTACATGTAGTTCTTTAGACCATACCAATTTAATTTGTTGGTTCTCCGATTTTTCAGAAAAAATATGAAGCGACAGGGCGAAAAAAAGTAAAAAAATAATAACAGGTCTGGGCATCCTATTATAGCCCCAAATGCTACGATAGGAGCCGTGAAGTCAACACAAAAGGCTAGAATTTTGAAATCTTAACCAAACCACTGGATTAATAGATGGAAAAACTGTAACAACTAGGACGAAAAGGACTTTCCTCAACTGTTGGGGGCAAAACATGAGCATTTCTTAGTTGATTCAGAATCAGAGATTTTTTTTTTTTTGCAAATCAGAAAAAAAGAAGAGGCGATTCTGACTGAGAACCATCAAATTAAATTGGTGTGGCCTTATTGTTATTGAACACCAAAACCATGAGAACCGTGTGAGGTGCTGTCCCTGTGCTGACCTGTGCTGTTCCGGTCCTGAGGTGACAGCAGGAGAAGGTGTCCGGGTACAGCTGGTGGTGATGATGGGGGGTGTGCTGCTGCCACCAACAGCTCTCGCCTGCAGACAGCATGGATACATACAGTCATTATTCAACATTATATTTTTCATCTTTTTCATGGCAAACACTTCAACACAATCCATAAGAAACAGGGCGAGCAGACTAACATTTGACTTAGGATTAGGAGCTCCCAACAGTTGGGCATACCAAAAAAATCCTGTTGCAGCACATGTACAGTCATGTACATGTGTATACAGATCATCCTATCAAAAGTATCTTAATCCTCCTTCAAAGATTAAAAAAAAAAACTTCTGCAGTTCCAGTGGAAGCTGCTAGGAGGCCTAAACTCATGGCACTTATTCCTGATAACAATAATGGCTATCTAGCCCCAGTTGTACAGTGCAAGCATGTCTAACCCTCAGAAAATGGGGAACAACAGACAATAAACCGGACAGTTCAGTTCATTTAGTACAGTTCTACCATACAATGTGTGGCACAATGGCAGCGTGCGCGACTCGGAATCAAGAGGTCCCAGGTTCGAGTCCTGACATGCCACCGATCTTGTGCCCTTGGGAAAGGCACTTTACACGACTTTCCTCACTAGACTCAAGTGAAAATGAGTAATGTCCAGTATTTGTTTCTACGTGCGGGACACAACACCAGCAACAGCTGCCTCTGTTCCGCTTGTATTGCACTGTTGCAATTTCAATAAATCAAATCAAATCAAATTAAATCAAAATCTTAATTCTTGACCATATCATGAAATATTCAAAACACTAAGCTGAGCTGCAGTACAGTAACAAGCTGCCAGGTGGCCTAAAATCCAATCATTTCAAAGTCTCATGTAAGCCCTGTAGTAAAATTGCTGTACCTGAACTTTAACCTGTGGTGGAATAGCTTGTGTCTGGACCAGTCCAACTGAGGGGGTGGACACAGGGAAGGCGCTCGCTCCAGCCGAGGGTGGACGTAACACGGTGGTCACACTTCCCTTGGCAGCAGGTGTCAGGCTGGCAGCTGCAGCTGCACCTGCAGGCACACATGACAATTCTCTGTCTCAAACACCTGCTTCTACATGTATGATACAATAATTCAACTAGCTTGTTACTTGACTTGTGTTTTTCGTGGCCTACATGACTTGTGTTTTTCGTGGCCCTGAAGAACATATAGTGTGTGTGACATACTTACCTCTGGGTACGTGACTTGTAAAGCTGTACAGACAGACTAGTGGGGATGTGTGTGACAGACTCACCTCTGGGTACATGACTTGTAAAGCTGTACAGACAGACTAGTGGGGATGTGTGTGACAGACTCACCTCTGGGTACATGACTTGTAAAGCTGTACAGACAGACTAGTGGGGATGTGTGACATACTCACCTCTGGGTACATGACTTGTAAAGCCGTGGACAGGCAGACTAGCGGGGATGTGAGTGCCGAGGTGAGGCTGGATGGATCCGCGGGACAGGGGGGGTCCAGGCTGTGCGTGTCCCAGCAGCGGCAGGTGTCCCATCCCCCCCACAGCGGCCAGGTGTGCCAGGCTGTGTGCGGGGCTGGGGCCCTCAGACTTGTGGGACTGGGTGGGGTGGACTGTGGTCTGGTTGGAGTTTGTAGCTGGGACGATCAGGCGTGTTGGTACCATGGGCTTTCCCGTCTAATAAAAATAATGGGTTAATATTAGGATTGATAATACTCATCATAACAGTAGTCTTTCTTAATATACAAACTTAATCACTCATTCAATCAACACTCTGGGCAGTAAAACAAACAACATTAATTCTGGATTAAGAAATCTTTTTGTCATTTACTTCCATTTCTTAGCATGTTTTTGTCATCATTTCATTCTTGAATGTTTGACATAGCCCCAAAGATACTGTAAATGCATTTGTGTTGGCGAGGACTAAATTTAGCGCAGCAGAGCAAATAAAGAGATCAAAACAATAAACAACTACTGCTAAGGAGAACCAGTAACATTTCAGATCCCAGCAATTATGTTTTTTGATCAAAATATTTGTGGATATGCCCCTTTTCAGACGTATTAATCTTCCTCGGGAATTGTCGTTGCATGTGGCCCCATGGCATGCACGCTAAGATTTTTGTACACAGTTGACACAGGATTCAGTGTCTCATAATATTATTCATTATTAATAAATTCAATGTCAGTATAGCATTATAATAATTTTGATACTCTGAACAATAACGCATAAATATTTTTTTTCTTGAAGAAGACTTCTTTGTCGCCCTGATGCCTGAAATTGCGTTGGATGCCTTTCAGGCTCAGGGACTATCAAAGCTAAATTTGAAGCCCATACACCTGTTCCTACATGTAGTACGTATACACATACCTTGAGAAAGCTGGACTCCACATGTACTTGTACATGCGGCACCATCCTGGGAGGTTCAGGTTTAGGTGCTGGCTGGTCCTCCTGTTCTTTAGACTGGCCATGAGAGGAGCCTTCTGTTGGTGGGTCACTTCCACCACCGGGTGGGGAGGGTCGGGGGGCACTCATCGTCCAGTCTGGTCAACTCTGGTCAAGACTGGTGCAGTGTTGCTGTATCTTAATGATGATAAAAGACCTTCATTGTACATTCATGCCACGACGGGCTAGGTACAGGTCAAGACTTAAAGACACAAAACAAATTTGTCTCGGTTGTGATGATGATGTCAGGTTGCAGTTTGTAAATGTTAGCACAATATTCATGTTTCTTATTTGTGATGCAGTCAAAATAATGTTTGTGTACATAATTTTCAGCTATTTTTTCTCGTTAATTTCTAACATGTCGAATTGTCAATGGTGCATTTTTGCTAGTGTCGGTCAGGAAACCTAAAAGGAGAACCCTGGGAAACCTTTTTTTTCAAAATCAGGGCCTACTACTACTGTACTAGTGCTACTGGTAGTAACTGAGGGGGGGCTGTGGTAATCAGGATTGGACAAGTCCCATTGCCCACTTGCCCAGGGCAAGTAAAAGTACTGTTCGGGCAAGGGAATATCCCTCTGTACTTGCCAAATTGGGCGAGTAGATTTTTTGGACGCAAAATACATGTATAGCCGCTATGGTGTTTGGAACAAAATTACTCGTTTTTGCCATACTGATATTAATGCCATTTTGTCAGAAAATCCATTGCATGTCTCAAACCACCTTGTTTTGATAAATAAAGCATGCAGCATCATAAACTCTAAAATAAAATAATTTCCTTGCTGGTATTAAAAATGCAAATAAAAAATGTCATGTATTTTTGGACAAGTAAAAAGTTGATTCGGGCAAGTGGAAATGACCATGTACTCCATGTAGTACTTGTCGGGGGGGGGGGAGGTTACTGTGTTGGCCCTATGAACTGCGTCTGGCACCCAGGTAACTACTAGTTCATGTCTGGTCTACTTTAGTTTTAGTATGTGACTGTGTGTGCTGTGAGTGTGAAAGGACACGCCACTCCGCGGTGGGGTGGGAGGGGGGCGGAACTGTGGTACAGGCGGGCCCAGCTTTCCTCCACACCGTGAACGTAGTCTATATTACCACGGGAAGGGGGGTGGATCTGACACTACCACATCTTTCATCTCAACCTCAGTACTTAAATATTGTTACATAATTTTTGTAAAGTTCTAGTCACAGGAACACTGACTGAAGAAAAAGACTCGTCACAGAGCGCCACACATACACACGCCACAAACGGCACATTTCCCAGAGAACACGGTATCCAAAAACCACCAAACTACACACATAAGATCTGTATTGTATCATAACTCACCTCACGAAAGGAAAACGAAGTCCTCTCCACTATACAGCAGAAAAGAGAAGGGTTTTCACGACAAAGCTTCTGCCGCTTCCACAGTTAGCATTCCACTGCAACGTCGTTCCCTCCCTTATTGGAACATGTAACGACGCGTGTGATTGGTCAAGAATATTACACTGTCCGTGATTGGACAAAGCAACCGTCAGGGCCTGGCAGCCGTCCAAGAATCATTTAACCTCCAAGCAGATGTTGGGGTGGAAGAGATTGTAACATTTTTACGACTGACGGACTTATCTGACGGCTATTTACGCCAACCTTTAGCAGAATGTTGACGGACAATAGTGCGGGCCCATAATAAAGTGACTGTCAGTAAAAACCGGGAAGTCTTGACACGTCGTTTACGATCTTCCACCCATCTACTTGAAGATCACAGGTCACGACAGAAGAGTCGATTTTTAAGGGGTGTACTACACGATGTTTTTTTTTTTTCTTTTAAAGAAGACAACTCCCTATGGCTATCAAAGTGTTGATAATTCTTGACATAAAAACGAATTTGTACAATTTATTAAACTACAGTATTCAGATATCTTATTTCTCGTTGGGAAATAAATGTTTTTTGAGTAATCGGCACCTGTTTCATATGTTAGTACGCTCCAACCTTAGGCAACATCATGTAAATTTTATGGATCAAAGCATCTCAGACACCAAATCTAATGCGATAGGGCGAAAAAAGGCAAGCAAAAAAAAGGAGATTCCATTATAAAATTCATAAACCTTGACATATAAAAAGAAATGATAACGTTACGTCCATGGGCCAGACCCCCAAATTTCACATATGGGTACCACCTGAGGTGGCAAATTCTCATCATGGTTTTTGAAAAGTAGGAATATTTTTGATGATAGCCGTTGCACATAAGTAGCTTTAACCTTGCTATCTGACCTTGAACTTTGACCTAATATGGACCGTGCCTTTATAATGCAAAGGTGAGTGGTAAATAATCAAATATGGATATTTCTCAACATAACTTCAATGTATTATATTGTGCCAAGTTTACTGTCAGGACAGGAAGAGCTATCTGTCCCCAAGAAGTCAAGACCACAGCATGTTCAGGACAAAATATACAAAAACCAGAAGTTCAGCTGCAGTACGAAGGTCATCCACCAGGAGGCCCATATTTGATCTTTGTCTTCCTACAACCTACATGTACCAACAGACCAAATATCATCATCATCCATGAAGGCCTTTTGAAGTTATGCTGACTACAAATGTGCAGAAACACGCACACACACACACATACCAAAAACAATACCTCCATTTTTCATGGAGGTAACAAAACTTACCAAATGCAATCAAAAATATGAAATTCCATCCTTACACCACAGTATCTGTGTAAACACTACTGATAAACATGCTTCATATGCTGTTTCTTTGGTGATTTATTGCATCAATGTAATACATCACATCAAAGATGACACAAATTATTTTGCCCATAATTCTGGCATTGTATTTTACCATCTATTCCATCTAAAAGACCTTGTTTAAGAACAGAACATCTAAATGTAGTGGAAGGAAAATAAAACCATCTCTACTCTAGAGAAAACTTTCCACTACCGCTCCGAATAATCAGTCCTGGGATACGTATATCATACGTACGTATTATTCTCAAAATCCTATATCCAGTATATAATCTCTCATCACCTATGGAACTCTACCATTTTGGTCAGTATTTACCACAAAATTATTAGGCATGGAACAGCCTTACAAATATTTCTATAGCTCCCTCCACCTATTCCTGTATTACTGCATCTTTGCAAAGTGAGATCCATGGCAAATATACAAGCCAAAAAAAATTAATACTGCTCAATACTTGAGTCTCCACTTACAATAATGTACAAGTGATGTGGTCTGAAATATATCAATTTTGGAAGAAACAAGTAACCATGTAATATTGTCATGTGGCACAAGTCTAAACTGTTTAAATGTTAGCAACAGTTCATCTGTGATACAGACAACTTTGGGTCACCTGGACAGTTGCATAGGTAACTATGTGAGTAATACAGGTCGAGCACAGAAATAAAGAAGTAAAAATGATAACTTTCCAAGTTCTGAGTACTATGCTATCACTAACATAAAAACAGCAGAGGAAAAAAATGTCAAGAAATGTACAGACTTCTCTCTGCCTAGTTGTAAAGATTAACATTCCACCGACAGACACCTTTGTTTTCTCAATTAAATACACACAGGTTCCTCTTCCCTTGTCCAAATGATCTCTTGCTCTCTATGTAATATTTGTGGTCATTTACAGATGAGTGAGTGATAAAATAAGAGCCTACGTTATACTGGAGCTGCTATGTAAAGCCTGTCACACATTCAGAACATTCCCTGGAACCAACCAAGGTTGGCTGAACTTATCTTGAAAGTTCATCTGTGTTGGTAGAAATCATTATGAAGCAAGTTTAAACTGTAATTTCCAACACAAAAAATTGTATTCACCCAAATTTTTGACTGTGCAACTCCAGTCTTTGTCAAGGAATGAGCAATCCACCGCTTCCGTGACGTCACGCAGATAACACAATTGTGACTCCGTGAGCAGTGGATCATAGGTTGCAGAAAGTCTGTGGCGCCCCCCGTCTCTGTTGAGTCCAATTTTTTGTGTTGGAAATTACAGTTTAAACTTGCTTCATAAGGTTGGCTGAAGTTTGGGAGCAGTCTGACCAGATTTAGGCCACACCTACATTTTGATATGAATTGAATTTGAGTCAAATTTGACTGCCAAATACGCCCCAATCAACTCCCAATCACCAGCCAACAATGGCCGACACTCCCATCCACACCCAAATGTTTTAAATTTTATCATTTGGTTGGCGCAGCCAAACTGTAGCCAACCTGGCTGAACACCAGCCAACCTTACTTTAAGGCCACAGCATTTAAATTTTATGGATGACATCCTCCACAGACTCCAAATCTAATGCGAACGGGCGAAAAAAAAAAGGCAGGCCGAAAAAACAAGATTCCTACATTTTAAAACTTTGACTCAATCATTGTACAAATGGTTTTGATTCAGTGGGAACATCACATATACACAGCCAGCATCACATATCACTGCATCACAGTAAGAAACAAAACATGAAGTCAGAGCCTTTTCTTGTCTCCTCTCTTCATAGTTATCTGCCATTCACTTTCCGGTATGGCAACAGGCATCTTTGCCCATTTTCGGCATGTTGACCACTGTCAGAAGGCAACAAAATTTCTTGTTTTTTTCCAAAATCAGGCGAAAATTAATGCGTGCTCTGATGTCATCCATAAAAATTACTTGCAGTGGCCTAATCTCAACCATAGTTGGTGGAGTTCCGCAGTGTTTGGGAGGCCATATTCAGCAATGTGTGACAGGACCTTAACACTCACATCTCCTAGTATATCTTCACAATCAGTTACACCTCACTTGTACAGCTGACTGGCTTGGGATCACAAAAAATAGTTTGCATTTTTAAAAAATTGTCCAGATAACTGATGACAAGCATCAACAAAATGCCAGCCAGAGCTGCCATTTCATAGAAGTGATTTTGGATGAGTACAGTTTTGGATACTTGAGATAATTGTTCAACAAATTCTGACAGGCCCGTGCACAACTTTGTCTACTTCAGATACACAATAGTGACCCTAAGGCCACACCAATTTAATTTCTTGGTTAACGGATTCGCCCGCTTCATTTTTTTCTGATTTGCAAAAAAAAAAAAAAAATTCAGAATCAACTGCAAAATGCTCATATTTTTGCCCTGAACAGTTGAAAACAGTCCTTTTCTTCCTAGTTGTTACAGTTATTCCATCTTTCAATCCAGTAATGTCATTAAAAGTTCAAAATTCATTGTTTAAATTTTGAACCAGCCTGGTGTGTTGCCTTCATGGCTCTGTACCATTTTGGGCCATAATAGGATGCCTAGGCCTGTTTTTATTTGTTTTATTATTTTTTCGCCCGCCCGCTCCATTATATGTCTAGAAAAATCTGTTAACCAAGAAATTAAATTGGTGTGGCCAAAGACATGTTCTACAAGCGTATTTCTTGTGTAGGCCATGTACATATAGGTTAACCAAGAACAAAAAATTGGCAATGGGTTACCTTGTAGTAGAAACAACAAAGCTGTAACAGCATTTTCCGACGATCTACTTCTCAAAAATTGTTCATATTACTCTGACAGATAATTTTGTCACTTGCATACATATATAGATAGATAGATAGATTTATGTATATATATTACATAAGGAGTGTTAGAAGACTGCTTCTTAGTAATTCTTCTTGGCATGGATGTTTGGGTGGTGTTTGGTGAAGGTGAAAGGTTAGATGACGGCAAGCCTGTTTGGATCCTAATGACGAGAAGCTGCGGAGGTGCCGTGTGATACACTGTACCTGTGGGGACAGAGGGAAAGTTACAGTTGTAGTACAAGCTATGGAACATTACATGTATATATATAATTCCAGTGTTCTAATCAGCAAACTTCAATTTTGTTTCCGTAAATAATTTCATCAAACAAATGATTAGCAAATTTCTTTGATCACAACCATTTATTTTTCAAGAGCCGACGTTTCGATGACCGTCTGTCATCTTCATCAGGGCAATTCTGACTGGTTTACTGTGCACTGACACTATATGCTAGATGTTACTTGCAATTGGTGCATAGTGCACTAAAGGTGTTATATGGTTCACAGTGCACTGTTACTTGGTTCACAGTGCACTTCAGCTAGTTTTTACTGTTAACAATGCATTTCCGAATGTAGTGCAATTGTGACATACCTACTAGACATTGTTACATCATAGGGACATATGCGGTTCCAAATTTCAGAATCTAAGTGTTTCTATATATAATATAAACATTGTTAACTAACAATACTGAGCTATCGTAACTACGTACATGTAACACCTCTAGTGCACTATGCACCAAGTAACATCTAGCATCAGTGCACAGTAAACCAGTCAGAATTGCCCTGATGAAGATGACAGACGGTCATCGAAACATTTGCTCGTAAAAATAAATGGCTGTGATCAAAGAACTTATATATTCGTTTACCAACCTGATGAAATTATTTATGGCCCTTAAATAATAATAAGTACAAGTACATGTTTAAGGTTGTTTAATAGCAGAAATGTTGAAGAGACTTACCGTCTTACTCTCTGTACAACGTTGTCTACCAGCGTGTCGGTGATGCCAGGACAGGATTCCTCTGCCAAGGCAAATGCCTCCCTGAGGTCATCAATTGCCAAAACTCCCTCGCCATTCTGACGATGTTTTTCTTTTATCTGTGGAAGTAGAGGAAATGTCATCAGGCACATGTTACTTAACCCTCAAACACCCGAACTTTTTTTGTGACGTTAATGCTGAACGGGGTGCAAATGGACCCCATTTGGTTTCTTTCAAATGTATATTCTTTTTTGCATTCTTTCAGTGATCTTTGCACATATATTGGTTAAACATAGTAAGAGGTATATTTTGGCATGATAAAGTGTTTAAAAATTCCAGCTTATTATCATAATTTATGCAAAAATAGGATGATGCCTGCAGGCATGAAGATGGGGTTGACCTTTGACCTCATATGATTGTCAAATTGTCAAACCTCTGAAAACCTGATGAAGTAATTCCTGAGGTGTAGGTTACTTGACAAACTGCATAATATTAAAGCAATAATGCTTCCTTGAAGACATATTGAGGACATCCGAACAATTTCGTGTGTAGGAAAGTGCAAATACATGGCTGGGGTCCGTTTGGACCCCAGATGGTCTTACATCAGACTTCCGTTGTTATTTTTACAAATTTGTGCCGATCTCCAAAAAAATTCTAGGAGAACTTGTAGAAGATGTTTATCGACAAAGTCATGGGAGGAATTTTTTTTGGAATGAAAAAATTTCAAATAGCACATAAAAATATACGCCTGGGGTCCAAATGGACCCCATTCGGGTGTTTGAGGGTTAATCTAGCAGCAACATCCATAACTGGGGAAATACCCAGGCCTCGAAATTAACATTTCTTCCTATTGTCCCAGCACTGTCCCAAAAATAAATTTCAATTGTCCCAAAGTGAGGACAAACTGTCCCAACCTGGTTTTGGAAACTACTGTATGACGTTAACTTCAAGTCAACTTTATTTTGCTTATGTTCACTCCCAGGCGCACTACATGTACTTCTAGTACTTGCAGAGTAGACAGGAAATTCGTGAGACTTTTCCAGATCCAAAAACTGGGACGTGTGCCTGATAGACAAAGAAGAGCTGACATTTTGATGATGATTATTTTTCTATTGTCCCAAAAATGACCCAAAGTGTCTTTTTAGTTGTCCAAGCCTAAATTTTAGTGGTCAGTGGCCACTGGACCACCTTTAATTTTGAGCCCTGAGTCTTGGTGAAACAGCCTGCAAACTTTAGGCTGGGACAACTGAAAAGGCACTTTTTTGGGACAATAGAAAAATAATCAACATCAGAATGTCAGCACTTCTTTTGTTTATCAGGCACATTTCTCGGCTTTTGTATGGAACCCCCCCCCCCCCCCTCAATTTCCTGTCTACTCTGCAATTATACTTTTATAGTGCGCCTGGGAGTGACCGTGAGCAAAATAAAGTTGACTTCAAGTTAAAGTCATACAATACTTCACAAAAAAAAACAGGTTGGGACAGTTCATCCTCACTTTGGGACAATTGAAATTTATTTTTGGGACAGTCCTGGGACAATAGGAAGAAAAGTTAATTTCAACACCCAAGACTGTTACATCATATAGAAGGTATGGGCCTGGTAGAGAAGGTGTACCAGAATACACAGTGGTCGAAATACTTTTTTTCAGTGCTCTGCAATATTGCTGAAGAGTCAAAATTTTGTTCTGCAATTTGGAAATACTTTCTGCAAATACACAAGCCTTGCAAGTTAATGAGCATGAACTATTGATTGATATGCAAATTAGTGAAGACAAATTTTTGGAAGTCCAAAAGGAAACAAAAGATAAACAGGTCAAGACAAGGTTGATGTAAATTAGTGAAGAAGCTCCTATTGTTTCAGAATAGGAGCTTAAGTGTTGTCTGTCCTTGGGGCTAAGAGCACCAAATCCCAAGTGCCAATTTTTCCTGCTGCAAAATTGCAGATTGTATAAATTTTTCTTCTGCAATCTTGAAAATCTATCTGCAGATTGCAGACAGGTATTTCGAACACTGATACAGGAGCAAAATCATTTGTTTAACACCTAATAGTATTTACTCTAACAGTAGATCACACTCAGGTCTGTGGAAGAACCCCTGACCTACCTGAGTTAATAAAGGCACTATCAAGTCATGGAGACTTCTAGACTTGGGCACTCGGTTGGCAGGAGAGGTTGTCTGTAGGAATACACAAAACACAGAGTCAGTAATTGAATAAAGTAACACCAATGCAGACAAAATCTTTTGGGTACTGGGCTACTGGCCCAACTGTATCTGAATAAAGTTAGACTCAGATCTATACTTAACTCCATTAGTATAAATTTCACACTACTCTTCCAGGACTCCATAGTGAATCACCAGATAATACTAGTTGTAGTATTTGGACCATCGAATGGTTTGTATATGTATGGCAGTGGTATTTGCTAGACAAGTAATTGTAAAAAATCAGTGTCATGCAGCATGTTTTTTGTACAGGCTGGTTTTTATGAATAAACTGTTGTTAGAAACTGTTAAAAAAGATATGCTAGTGTCACGGAAATGAAAAGAAACCTACAGTGGTCCCCACTGGAAGACAGAAGAAAAATGTCCAGACTATGCATGATGTACAAATTGACTAATAAACTGGTGGACGTCCCAACTACTAAGTACATAATACCAGCCCAGAAGAGAACAAGAAATAGCCACGCATTCAAGTACCAGAGTTATCAACTAAGGATTGAGGCGTTCCAGAATTCATTCTTTCCTAGAAGTTCAGAAGAACTATCGCAGAGTGGAACTCGCTGTCACCAAGTACAGAAGGGGCATTGTCATTAAATAGCTTTAAATAATGTCTAGAGTTAGAAGTTCAAGGGTTAGGTGTAAAAAGTGGATCGGTGTGTTACTCCGAAAGGCAGTTATACTGGCTATACAGATACAGATAAAACTGTTGTACCTCTGTCCTGACAGTGTCTGAGTTGGTCTCTCCGTTCTGCTGGGTGTTTTTCACTGATCCAGGCCTGCTCTTCACCGTGCCAAAGTCCCAGTTGGGGTCGTTGTTCTCATTATCTTCATCATCGTCTCCTCTGTTGGACACAGAAAGAAGAACATGTTACATTCTACAATGTCTTCTGTCTGTGGGACCAACCCTGATATCTGGCCGTCTGTGTTAAAAACCAGCCTGGTCAAATCTCCAAGCAGATGTAAGGATCTGACTCAGTCTCAGTGTCTTATGTCAAGGCTCAAAATTCATTTTTGGGAATAGGTGTAACGGTGCACCATATGAAAAAAATAAGTAGAATGTCAGCAAAAACTAATTATGTTTCATTTCTAAATAACTGCTTGTTGTGAGGCTTGGTACTAGTTATGAAGAAGGAAAAGAACTATAACAATGATACATTGTATTACATTTGTAGCAGACCATTTTATACATCTTCAATGCTGCTAGTTGGACGAACAAAAAATGAAAATAAGATTGACGTGTGTAATGTATCAACCCATATACACCCACACGACACAACCAACTTTACTGTCTTTGATGGTATAATCAGGTGAATTTCAAACCACACAACTTAATTTTATGGATGACATCCGCGCGTGCATTGATTCTCGCCTGTTCTCAAAAAAAAAAAAAAGATCACGTCCCCCAAGGCTCTAACCTAGCTGTAGGCCTGGGTAGTCCATGGTAGTTAGCGACAATAGGGAGCTGGTGGTAACTCTGGAGGACGTCACCCAGGCTACAGAAGCTGCACGACTCAAAAACTCGCATACGCACAGTGCCGATTCATAAATCCCACCGTCATATACGTCGCTGTGTACTGCCGCAAATTCACAATACCAGCTTTTGTATTATACATCATCCCTGTGGTTTAGTAGCATTTTTATTACTAGCCGGAATTTGTTTTTATTTGACCGCACGCAATAATTTGGGGGTCTTCGGAGGATGTCATCCATAGAATTAAATCAGTGTGGCCTAATTTTGAAGAAAATGCACATAAATCATGTTAATACAACAACCACACAGACAAGCTGAAAACAGACCCTACACCTTTAGGGATGGAGTAAAGAGCTCTATCACATACTCTCACTAGAAAAATACATTATAAGTTATGTATGCCAGGCAATACAGAAGCTTGTTTCTGCAGGCAATGTGGAGACAATGAAATGTGTGTTCAATGGGCAGGCAATAGAGGAAAAAAAAAGAAGAAAAAAACAGAGGACTGATACTACACTTTTCAGGCAGAGAGAGGGAAGAGTCAGGCACACGACAGTCCAGAAGTGTGGAGGAGGTCTGGTAAACCTCCTGGAGGGGACACTTTGTGGCCGACACATTTTCTGTGGACTTGAAAATGTTCCAGAGACTTTTTGCGAGGGGGTTGAGACATCCCGGGCTGGAAGGGACTGTGTTAGCCACAGACATGTATGCACTGTGGGAGAGACAGCAGGGAGAAGGTTAACGCTACAGTACAGATCTCTTAGAACTTCCCTTCTGTACACCTGCAAGTTTGTTTGTTTGTTTGTTTGTTTGTTTGTTTGTTCGTTTAGGATCTCCATTAGTGTGAATTTCACACTACTCTTCCTTGAGTCCATTAATAATCAGATAAGTATTTGGACCATCACACACTGGGGCATGCCCCTACTCTTTTTTGAAAGGTGTGGTGGGTTCTTTAACGTGCGTGGGGTGTGGCTCTCCCCAAACACGGGACAGGTGCATTTAACGTCCTATCCGAGGGACGTCCCTAACCAAAGCTAGGTACTCATTTACACATGAGTGAAGTGGGGAAAGTCGTGTAAAGCGCCTTTCCCAAGGGCACAAGATCGGTGAAATGGGCAGGGTTCGAACCCGCGACCTCAGGGGTGTGAGCCGAACACGCTACCGACTGCGCCACATGCCCCCACAAGAAATATCAAAGAAATTAATAACATGCATTAATTCCATAAGAAGGGAAGTTAATTGAGATCTGTACTTCACAAAACTGATGAAGAAAGAAAAAAGTATGAAGAGAACATGGGAATGGAACAAAGCCAACAAAAGAAAGAGCTGAAAAGAAAAGCAGGACTGGAGACATGTGGAGTGGAGTGGAGAAGACGTACATTGACTCATCGTCGCTATTAGAATCGCTGTCCCCGTGTCCTTCTGCCTTCCATCTCTTAAACGTCTCGATCAACTCCACCAGGAAGGACGTCTTCTTTGCTGTGCGGATGAACTTGTGCTTGAGCAGTTCTTTTGCTGTAGGTCTCTGTTTGGGAAAGTACAAAATAGTATTGTGTTAGAAAAAACATTTAGGCCACACCAATTTAATTTCATGGTTAACGGACATTTCTACAAAAATAATGGAGCGGGCGGGGGAAAAAAATAAAAATAAAAACAGGCCTAGGCATCCTATTATGGCCCAAAATTATAGGAGCCATGAAGTCAACACACCAGGCTGTTCAAAATTTAAACAATGAATTTTGAACTTTTAATGATACCACTGCATTGAAAGATTGAATAACTGTAACAACTAGGAAGAAAAGGACTGTTTTCAACTATTCAGGGCAAAATATGAGCATTTTGCAGTTGATTCTGAATTTTTTTATTTTTTTGCAAATCAGATAAAAATGAAGCGGGCGAATCTGTTAACCAAGAAATGAAATTGGTGTGACCTCAGGCATGAGGGTGTTATAGTCAGGAGTTTAGGCAAGAACACTAAGACTAAGGTACAAAATTCCATGAATTGCTACATTGTCATTGCCCTTTTATTTATTTATCTTCTATAAACAAACATATATACATTGATGAATAAACAAATGAAACCTTCCTTTGCAGTTTATACCATTGAATTATTGTAATTGTGCTTTTGAAATTTAAAGGTTTAATAGCTGCTGTAAAGTTTAACAGTCATATCTTGCCTTTGCTTTCTTGATGTCTGATTATGATACTTCCAGGGAAAAAAAACACAATGTCTTTGTAATGTCCTGCAAATTTACCTTGGATGCGACGATCTACTTTCATAGATTTTTTAGTTTGGGAACACTGAAAGTTAGTCTAGAGCCCAGACATACCATATCTACCTTAGAACACCATTGTTAAACCTCAGCATCTGAACTCTAAAAAATGACTTACAAAAAGTTGAACTTTATTCCAACACACAGTTTACAGAGAGATCAAATTTTCAGCGACCACTGTCGCCTTCATCAGCCTTCACTTAATAGAAATGGTGGACAATATAAACTCCCTGACACTTTAGATCAATTGCTTACGTCACTTATCAGTAAAGTCTCGTGTGAATAAGGTCACGTTTTTGGAAACCGTAACTCTCGCGAGATCACGTTGTGAAGTGATTGGTCATTAATTATCCTGATGAAGGTGACAGTGGTTGCTGAAAATTTTATCTCTCTCTAAACTGTGTGTTGGAATAAAGTTCAACTTTTTACTGTGATTACTACCAACACAGATGAACTTTACAGGACTGACAGGACTTACAAACTTGGGGTCTTTGTTCAAGCAGGACTCCACAAAGTCCTTGAAGGATTTGCTGTAGCTCCCTTCCAGCTGTGGCGGGTTGTTCTTAGGGATGAGGAACAGAACCCTCATGGGGTGCAGGTCAGAGTTGGGAGGCTCGCCCTTCGCCAGTTCTATTGCTGTGATGCCCAGGCTCCAGATGTCCGCCTGGAAAGTCAAGTTCAGCATTTTCATCAGGACACAAACTTGATTTGATTTATTGAAATTGCAACAGTGAAATACACGTGGGACACACAGCGTGCAAAATACCTGGTTGCCCAGTTGCCCCAGGCAACCAAATTTTACTTGGGGCAACCTATTTTTTAACCACTTTCACTTTCACTTTATTTATTTATACAGGAAATTGCGCTCAGGTCATTTGACCTGTTTTTCAGACAATCCTGTTTTTTAAAAACAACGCAATACATTCACAAACCAAGGTAGCCCAGTGTGCTACCTGAATTTTAAGAACGCCACCCCCACCCCCCCAAAATCATGCCCACTTAGCTTGCACCATTGTATCCGGCAGATGCTTTTTAATTTTAGGTATTAATGGCTATTACTAGTATCAGTTAACTAAAGGCTGCTAGAAATATTGTCAAAGGCTTACATTGTATGACATATTGTATGTAACATAACTTAACTTGAGGAAATAAGTAACTTACATGTATAGGTGGGGCAACCTAAAATTCTGATGGGCAACCTAATTTTTGCCATAGGTTGCCCAGTGAGCAACCTGGTTCAAAAAAGTATTTTGTACACTGAGTCTAGTCTAGTCACCACAAGTCAGAACCTACCTTGGAGTCATAGGCAGACTGTTTGATAACCTCCGGAGCCATCCAGAACGGTGTTCCTACAAACGTGTTTCTCTTGATCTGGGTGTCTGTCAGCTGGCCTGCAACTCCAAAATCTGCCAGCTTCACGTCTCCATTCTCCGACAGGAGCACATTGGCAGCTGGAACACAGCACAACCATCTTTACTCACATATTCTCCCTCCCTATACTCTGTATACAGGGCTTGAAACACACATTTGGAGCTGTGCACCCAATTTTTCCTGTGGGTGCACCAGGGCATAGTGATGCATACCGGTTCACTGGACTTGGATCCGGACTTGTAAGAATGTTTAGGTTCAAGTAAAAAAAAACCTTAAAAAAAGTCAAGAACCGAGTCCGGACTTATTACCATAAAAGACCATTTTCACATACCCCTTTTCTTTCCAAACCACCTAAAACCTTCCGTAGATTGTAAAATCTTTGCTGCAAAATGAAGAAAACATTGCCATCGGACATCGTCAAGTACCGGCCTCCATGTTATGTGGCCAAAGTCTTGCCCATAAAACATTGCAAGGTTGCCAACATGCAATTTTGTATATGCCATGGGTTTAGGTCCGGACTCGTCTGAACCTAAACCTCTGGACTTGAATCCGGACCTGAACCTAAATGTGGGTTTAGGTACACAGCACTACTTTGGGAGAATGTTCTGAATGTGTGACAGACTTAACGTTCTCCTACACACATTTATAGTTCTCCTCCATACCTTTGATATCTCTATGAAGTTTCCCCTCAGAGTGAAGATAGTCCAGCCCCTTCAGGATCTCACGTAGAATTGTTGCGATAAAGTGTTCTTCAAACGTACCAGCCTTCATCTGAAAAACACATGGGGCACATGAGAAGAACAGAAATGGCAAACTTCATCTAAATTTTTCTCATTGCCCATATTGCTTTGCGTTCTTAAACACACTCACTGACAGTATACTACATCCTCTGAGCTCATGCACAAATCAGCAGGAACATACATTGTATATCGGCCTAGTTTTCATACATTATAGATGGAACTAGAGAAGTAACATTTGCAAAGCAAATGCATAATGTTTACCTTCAGACATGGTCTGCTCTGTTAATTCTTACTCAAACACATTCGCATACATGTACAATATGGTGACAGGAGTAGAGCACACAATGAAATTGCAACATTATGTAACCCAACACCAGTCACCATGGTGACAGACAACAAATCATGTCATTGGTCAGGTCAGAGGTCACTGTTTGGAGAAGAAGAAGAAGAGGAAGAAACTGCGCAAAAACAAGATGTTTTTCTTCGGTAAACACAACTACTTATCACTTACCAAGTCTAATGCTGATCCTCCGCCCAGATACTCCATTATGATCCACAGTTTTGTGCCCTGGTAGAGAAAAATCATATCAGACAAGGACTTGTACAGACATACATGTATAAGCAGTCATTCAGTAACATCTACTGTGTTCACTTTAGTTTATGAACACCACTTGAAAAATAATCATGTACTTACTTAGGATGACAAGCATGTTTGTCTTTGCTACAGGCACCATATGAATTATGATACAGGGCTCGAAATACTGTGCATGTGCACCTCAATGCACCTAAATTTGGAGCTGTGCCCCCAATCTATTTCTCTGGGTGCACCAGTGCACCCAAATATTTTTGTAGGTTTACATTTTAGATGTCAAATGTATAGTAGTATGCAACATATGTATACCTGCAGGGCACATTGAAAAACGCCTTAGTGGCGATATGTACACCCTGGGTAAACAAATAAAAACAAACAAACAAACATCTCCTTAACATCAAAGTGTCAGAAAAATAATAAAATCATTGTTATAGTACTTTTCTTTAGAAATGAAACATAATTAGTTTTTGCTGACATTCTATTTGCTTTATTTTATGTGGTGAACCCCCAAAAATTTTTGTTCACCCATTTTTTTAGGTTGGATGCACCAGTGCACCTATTCCCAAAAATGAATTTCAAGCCCTGTGATATCTTAATAATACAGTATCAAACTTCCCTTTTCTGTAGTAAGGGATTCATAGTAATAAGCATATATTATTTCGTATGAGTTTTGATATTTATGTTGAGCTAATACATTTATCACATGTACAGTAAGCACCATGGACATAAGTTACGTTAAGGCCACACCAATTTTATTTGTTGTTTCTCGGATTCACCCTGTCCTTTTTTTTTCTGATGTGCAAAAAAAAAAAAAATTTTTATGTTTCAAATCAAATTCAAAATGCTCAATGAAAGACATATTTTGGGCGCAATGGTTGAAGTTTTTCAATGTAACAATGCAACTTTGTTTCACTAAAAAGTAAAAGTTCAAAATCTATTGTTTTAATTATAAACCAGCCTGGTATGTTCACTTCATGGCTCATATTGAAACATTTCCGGCTATCCAGGGTGCCTTGGCCTGTTTTTTTTTTCCTGTGTCCCTTCAGATTTTTTCAGAAAAAATCTGAGAAACAGCAAATTAAATTGGTGTGGCCTAAAACATGTTTTGAGATGCTGTTACCTTGAGAAAAGATCCGAAGTACTTGGTAACATACGGGCTATCACACTGACTAAGAACTGTGATCTCCTGCTGAATGTCCTCTATCTCATCTTCAGCCTCCTCCAGGTCGATGATTTTGATGGCCACAACTTCCTTGGTCCTGTTGTCGATGCCTTTGAACACTTCTCCAAACGAACCCTTGCCGATCCTCTCCAGTTTGGTGAAGAGAACCTCAGGGTCTGCCTGGGTGTTCTGTGGGGAACAGCAACAATTCAGAATGAACGTAAGAATGTTAAATTAATACTGTACATATAGAATACAACACGTATTCCGTATCACCCAAGGTACCAGCCTGACCATGCATCCCTCGGCCGTCAGGCGATCCGACCCACGGGAGGACGATGCAGAATACACCGTGTTATATTTTATTTATGTCATACTCACCCAACAAAACATGCCTTTCAATTTGCGAAATGAGTGAAAATTTGGTGTCCCTAAACTAAAAAATGCAACAACATCAATTCCAATGTCCGAATTTTGTATTCGACTTTTCGAAAGGGGTGCACGCTGTTAGGGCGAAACGCGCTTGAATCGTTCTATAGAACATTTGGAAGCCCGGCCGTACGCGTTAAGAACCTCTGGACCGTACTGCTAGTTATGACACGGGCCGAAAGAACCCGTTTCGAATGTAATCGCGGCCCAGGTAAGACATAAATGTTTGTATTAATCTTTGCTTGCTGGTAGCTGAGGTTGGAGTTGTGTGCACGCAAAATAAAGCTATAAGGGATGGTACTCCACAGGCTTCACCCCTTTACCCATACTGCTTTGCATACCTTCTTGTCCCTCAGTCGAACTTGCCCAAGTGACCACCTTTGAAAGGCAGCAATTTGGCTATTAATGACCGCTTCTTTTTCCCAAAAAAACTTATTAACTTGAGTATAATTGGGGACTTGTCTAAGCTGACTTGTCCAACATGACCAGACCACAACCGGCACTATTTGGGTGCATGAACCAATCTCTGCCTATGACGACCACATCATTTTTAAGCATGTCAGAAAAAGTATCTCGATGATAACTAGTGAGAAATCTTGATAGAATTGGCCAATTTGTCATTGATTTCAACATCATGACAGTCTTTTTGCAATGCTAACAGTAAACTTGGTGCCGGCTGAATCACTTTGGGTCAACTGGGCGCAGTCTGTGGTCAAATGGGTGGAGATTTCGCTGTGGTTTTCTTGTCCTCTGACCTCTGTCCAGTGTTCTCACTAGGCCTTTTGAGCATAGAGGCCCCCAGTACTAGTATGCTGTGATTTGGACCCCCTATGCTGTGATTTGGACCCCCTATGCTATGATTTGGACCCCCTATGCTATGATTTGGACCCCCTATGCTGTTTTTCAACCAGTAGAGGGGTGTTTTTGAGGGGAGAACTTATATAAATCTTATATAACTTTAGAATGAAGCCAGGCTTTTAGCTAGGGGGTGTCTTGGGTGTCTTTTGGACGCCCTGTAATGAAAATAACAAGAATTTGGACACCCTACTTTTTTGGTAGGACACCCTAAAGACACCCTATTTTTCCCACTCCCAACCCCTGCCATGCACACATGCCTCCCTTCAGCCTTACTATATATACAAAACTGATGTTGTAACAAAGGAAAAACTTGGCTGAGGTCTGTATTCCTCAAAATGTGCACCTCAAAATGCAAGAAGTAGTGTTTGAGAGCATTACGAATTTCAAAAAGCCCCCTAAAAAGCTTGTAATTGTGTCGCTCACCACGCGACTTCGGTGTGCATAGCACACAATTAAAAATGTGGACACCCAACAAAACAAGGAGAAGTCGTAGACATCGTCCCTCCATGAAATAGCTTGTTATTTTGTCATCTTTTGGTGTATTTTAATAGAGATATTATGAGTCAAACTTTGTTTTTAACAGCAGAATGATAGATGTCTATAAATGTCTATCCTTTAAGAATTTTGTTGTGGCACTTCGTATTGGAAGGGGTTGCCCAAGCTGTCATGTGCAATCGTTTAGTGTCTTGTTACCATGTTTTGTTTGAGGTCAATGACCTCTCAAGCACCAGATGACCCAGTTCCCTGCTGAATGACGATTAAAGATAAGATATATTTCCTGCAGAAATGGTCTAGAGGTAAAAATAGATTGGCCTGACCTGCCAGCTGGAGGTATAAACAAAAACACTCTGTGCCAATTTGGGGTCAAACAGACCATCCTATTATGAAATAGGGGTGAAAATGTGAAAATCCTTTTAAATAAGCAATGCAAATCTACGACAACCTGCTAATGCACGCTAAAACGCAAAGACAATCAGCATCTACCCACATACCAAAAATGATCGCCAACCATCCACCGGGTTCTGAGATCATTCAACGCAAACAATCTGACATTGAGATAGCAATTCCGGTTCAAAGCAAACAGCTAGGGGGCCCAAATTTACATCACTAAACCATTGTAACCACAACTACATGCTACCTTAGCATCGCACACACAGACCATAACGTGCCAACAATAGAATAAAAAAATTAAACTGCAGTACCAAGGTCAATCACCAGGTGCTCAAAGTCAACCTACACAATCTCCAAGGCCCCATCCATCAATCTGCCAAATATCATACAGTTCCTTCTCACCGATCTTCAGATATCAGACCAAACATGAAACGGAGTAAAAACAATACCCCCCATTTACATGGAGGGTAAAAATCCTAGCTAAAAGCCTGAATGAAGCTGTTACAGTGTAACAAAGGGGCAAAATCTGCCCCTCATTAAGTAAGAAATAGTATCTCTGGGGTTTATGAGTTTCAACATTTTTGGGATGAATACCAGACCCCCTACTGTGGTCATATTTTTGGGACTCGATGCGTGACTTGTGCTACGAAAGTTGCCCTTCTGTACCTTGAGCGATACGGAATACCCCGTGTTGTATTCTATACGCTATATTCATTAAACAATATTTTGCTTGGAATACACATCGTTCATATTTCATTTGCTTTTCTTGGAATACACATTCATTTCATTATCATGTACAATGTTTGTACTATCATATGTATGACTGATGAGGAAGTATTACTACAAAATGTATTAGTAGTTTGTTGGAAACACAAACACTAAGTCTTAATAGTTGTTATACTTATAGTCAAAATATTTTTTACATTTTAACTTAATACACTTATTGTGAGAAAGATCAACAAGGTTTTTTGAGCATCAAAAAGTTTGAAAATCGTGCCAGAACAAATCTGCTTGAATTTGAAAGAAGACAACTTGTCTTAAAACTTATAAAAGACCACTTTTCATCAGTTCCCTGGGAGGTCATTTACTGTAGACGAGTCTGACTGCACACGCAGTGTTTGAAATACCTGTCTGCAGTCTGCAGATAGATTTCAAAGATTGCAGAAGAAAAATTTATACAATCTGCAATTTTGCAGCAGGAAAAATTGGCACTTGGGATTTGGTGCTCTTGGCCCCAAGGATAGACAACACTTAAGCTCCTGTTCTGAAACAACAGGAGCTTCTTCACTAATTTACATCAACCTTGTCTTGACTTGTTTATCTTTTGATTCCTTTTGGACTTCCAAAATTTTGTCTTCACTAATTTGCATATCAATCAATAGTTCATGCTTATAAACTTGCAAGATTGTAGTATAGAGGCTTGTGTATTTGCAGAAAGTATTTCCAAATTGCAGAACAAAATTTTGACTCTTCTGCAATATTGCAGAGCACTAAAAAAGGATTTCGACCACTGACATGTGTATTAGTACTTCTTGTGCATTGCCATGATGGTTATCAATTTTAATGATAAACATGTAGTAACAAAATGTGAAGCAAAGAACTGCAATTTGTTAATTCGTTTACTTTCATGAAGACTAAATTTTGGTGACAGTAGGGGAAACGGAAAGTGTTATCGCTGTGTGTGTAGTGTGTAGTTATTATAGTACAGTACTAATTCATGTACTGGAGATACATGTATATTCTATTTGTCATCACATGTATTTTGCAGTTACCGCATAACGATGTGAATGATTATGTTCCAAGAACATTTTAGTTTACACTTTTTACAGTATTTTTTCCCTTTTTTTTTCAAGTACAGTATTAGCACACATGACCTGATACTGATTGTAAATGGTTGAAATATAGGAGAGAAACTTACTAACACCAATTTGAGAACAAAAATTCCTGATTTCATAGTCATCAGATTCAGATACACAAGACTGACAAAATATTATCCACATTGATGGAACCTTGCAACTGGCCATGGTGACCTAAATTTATCTGTTCTTTCTACTTAACTGTGAAGTTAACACCATAAATTACCCACAACCAGATACTAATGAACAGATTCAGTGAACACAGTGTCTGTCACGTTTTTCTGAACCGGTATTTTGCTACTGTATTTTGCTATAGTTTGTAGTTAGGTTCGTTTGTATACTAGTATTTTGTGGCATTATGCTACACTACTGTAAGTGTAATTACTAACGTTAGTCAACAACTCAGGTTTTTTTCATTTTCGTATTTTTGTGTGATAAATACAGACACCAATACTGATCTGATAGCCAAGACAACTGTTAGAATCCATAATCACACAAGACTCACCTGATTCGGTAGATGTTCCATCATCATTTTGAAGTTCTCTCTTTCTTTCCCGACTCGCTCAGACCAAAATCTTTCCCCTCAACAACACACTCGAGTCGTCTGTTCCTTCGTCAACTTCCGAGCGGCTTCAACCCAAAATCTTCGCGCCGAGGGAAAAAAAGACAACCTTGAACCACTGTCTATACCTATGGAGTTTCTAGGAATAGTTTCGTGTGGTATCCATTGTGGTAAACATCGTAGTAGAGGCGAACAGTGCTGAAAATGCCGTCGTTTTGCAGTACTAAATCTTAGTTTTCACCACAGCAGCCATCTTGGCTTGGTTCAGGGTGTGGCGCACACTAAAATCCATCCGCCATCACAAAATAGTCCCACATTTAGTACTCCTATTCTGTCAAGTTAATGTTGTGTAGGGTACAATTCACATTTTTATAAGTCACATATAATCATTTTTGTAATGTTTATAGACCGTATACCAGCAACTGTCAACTAAAAGAAGTGAGTTGCCCACAACTAAAAGCATTGGACGCGGAGTAATAGCAATTCGGCAATTTGATATCGTAGGCGTGGTGGTTGAAACCATTTTGCTGTTTGAGGGTGGCTGCCTCCGTCAAAACTTCATATTTTTCTTACAGTAGACTATATGATAAAAGACAACGTGATTTTAGATTTACTTATAAGGTTTTTAAAATGTATTTTGCATGTATAAGTATGTTTACTTCCAATCTACTACTCAAAACTTCTGTCAGTTCCAAACGAAACCCCCGACGTGTAATGTGTAGCCGCCTATGACGTCATTTGTATAAACGTCGTGGTATATAAACTGGGCGGCGTAACAGCGTCACGCACAAAGTTGGCAGCGGGAAGGAGACGTGGGGAGTTTAGGGTCATGCAGAATTCTTACTCCTAGCAATAACTCAGAAACTGTGAGAAAATAAGAGAAACAGAAGCATGTCATTTTAATATTCAAGTTAATTCTCTGCTGCCGAGTGTCATAAGATAAGGTCACACCAATTTAATTTGTTGCTTCTCGGATCGCCCTGTCCATTTTTTTTCTGATTTGCAAAAAAAAAAAAATGTTGGTTCTAAATTAACTGCAATATGCTCAATAAACTGACCCCAACTGTTAAAAAAGTCATTTTCTTCCTAGTTCTTAAATTAAGTTTTTAAATGTAACAATGCAATTTTGTTTTATTAAAAGCTCAAAATCTATTGTTTTGATTATAAACCAGCCTGGTATGTTCACATCATGACTCATATTGTAATATTTCCGGCTATCATGGAGTGCCTTGGGTTTTTTTTTCGCCCTGTCGCTCCTGATTTTTTTTAATCCGAGAAACAACAAATTAAATTGGTGTGGCCTAAGTTACAGAAAAATTTTCTGTGACTGTCCTTCATGTTTCATGGTCTTTGTTAATAACAATCGTTTTAACCTCCTTCCAAATATTTATAGACGGGTCGTTCGAAATCTTCTGCCATTTCCCGATCATTGGTTACATTGGTTATGTTGTCGTTTCAACTTAAGGCATTGGTTAATTCACTGATGATCTAAGCGTTTGACTAAAGCAAAGGCACTAAACACCACTAAATACACAACAAATAACGGAGTAGCAATATGCATCGAAATGCATATAAAAAAAAAAACAGACCATGGAGGTACAGTATTTTCAAATGTCTTACAATATGAATGTTAATATATAGCTCTAGCCTGACAGCTGCCGGATGGGTCTTTGTGACCGAGCGGTATACAGTATATGAAAAAAGTACTATTATCTTCATGAACTGAAATATACAAATCATTTGATATTAAGATTTAACTTTATAGTCCGTAGAAGAAAAAATATCGTGGCTTTTTTTAACCTGTGGCATTTAATTTTATTTGCACGACCACAGTAATTCATGTCACACAGAAAAACAAACAAGCGAGCCCTGATTAAAGATAGTTTAAAAATAATTTTTAAAAAATTCCAGAGCTTCCCGACAGGTTCCATGCTGTGACTGAAATTTTATATCATATGATAACTTTATTTGTGGCCAACATCAATGGTATTGATAACAGAAAATAAATTTATGATCATTAATCATGACTTTTCCTAAAGCATTTCTCTAAACAAAATACCACACAAATACCGAACAAAACAAAGTTTTAAATTTGTCTGAAAAGAAATACGGTTGTGTGGACCTCACTCAATTTCAATTTATTTATTTAACCAGTAATGTACAGCTCAGGCCCGGATTTTGGCCTGCTTTTCAGGTAATCCTGGATACACATAAAAATACACACAACAAATACACAGTACATAAACAATTACTAAATACAACATCCTAAACATCAACAGTGTCAAGTCCTGCACCTAATGATCTGTATAAAAGTCGGCTCCAAATGATCTGTTTAAAAGTCTGAGAAGCCCTGATTCTAATGATTTGTTTAGCTTCAGGGCACTTACTAGTATTTAGGCAAATATGCCGTTAAACCAGTTCTGGCTCCAACCCTTGGTCATGATCACGGTCCGGCCCATGAATTCTATATGTCCAGATTGAAGTTTCTGGGATTGCAAACTTTGAGCTATAATTATAAGGGGGTATATGGATACTCGCTTTCGATATGTATTAATTAAAGACAGCACGATCTGTTTGGACAGTAGATGGCCCGGCCCAAATCGGTTACTAGTACTCTCCAAGCAGAGGTTTGGGGTGTTTTAGACTTTTTTGATCAGTGTTTCTTTTTTCACTGGAATTTTTTTCATCCCCAAAAAAAATTCCAGTGCAAAAAAAAACACCCCCATAAAAAATAAAAACACGCCAAAAATAACCCAAAACCCAAACCTCTGCTTGGAGAGTACAAACGGGCGAGAAGTGCTCCCAACTCTGTCATTTTTTTTCGTCACAGCGTTTCCTAATTCTGATGAGATAGATTGAAATTCTCTGTACAGCGCCCCAGCAAAGAAACTAAATAATTTCATTCATTATTTCATCTAACGTTATACGTACACCGTTCGACGGTCGTTTGTGTGTCTGAGCATGCTATATCGCCGGTAATTGACTAATATCCATGATGTAGCTTGAAGCCCCCAAAACATAACACCTTCGGGGGAAGGGGGGACCGGGGGTGACTATGACATAACTATCTCGAGCTCAAAAAGGAATTAATAGTTTCATTTCCTTTTTAGTTTTTGTGTTTGTTTGTTTGTTTTTTTTTTAGTTTTTTTTTTTTTCTTTTTTTCTTCCCAACCGGACTGGTCGTTTCTCGGATTTTGAAAAAAAATTGAAGACACAAGGCGAAAAAAAAAACCAACTAAAAACAGGTCTAGGCATCCTATTATAGCCCCAAATGCTACGATAGGGGGAATAAAGTCAACACAAAAGGCAAGCTATAAGTCCGCCCCCCAAAATCGCTCCCCGTCAATATTTTTTGGGGGAGCAGCTAGCGGACTTGTACCTAGCTAAACAAGACTGGATTTCAGGCTAAAAACGTACATGTAAATACGTAAACAGGTCATCGCTAGATAGTAGATCACCTGACTGACGTAGCCCAGTATGCCAAAGGTCCCTAATATAAATGACCGTTGACCAAAGAGGGTAAGTGGAAAGACCAGTGCTCGTGTAGGACTAAGGTAACCGTAAATACAGATTGGTACGGGTATAGGCCTTTTCACCGGGAAGGGTAGCACTGCAACGTGGCCTAGCCACCAGCCCACCCTTCGGTTTCCAGAAACCCTTTACCGTACCACGGATCAGCTGGCATGGGTCATCACAATTCACATGACTCTTACTACTACATTACACTCCTCGCCAGCGTGCACGTCTAGGTTTCTACACTTGCTTGCAGTGGTTGTTTTAACTTGCCCTACACTGTTATAGAAAGTAACCAGCGGAAGAATGGACAGTGTTGTGAACGTCAGAAGTCTGGTGTTGGCCGGCGTGGCCACAGGCGCTGCTGTGCTGGGCTATCTGGCAGGTATATAGCCTAATGTATTCATAAATCTCAGAGCAGATCTTTCGGCATGGGGACTCTTGACTCCGGCTTATATTTAGCATTACCCTCACACTCACAATGCATTTATTAATATGTTAAAGCCCGATTCAAGAGTCACCGTGACCCTTTCGGTGGCGACAAGACAAGAGTCACAAGACAGTGTCTTTTTTAGTTAAATTATAGACAACAAAAAAGATCTGCTTTGAAAGAATTCACTAGGATCTGCTTTATGATGGGAGATACTTTTTCACATTGGGCTAAGGGTAGGGGTCGAAAACGAGGCGGAGGTCACTGGAGGTCACCGGAAGTGCCGTAGTACGCGTGACGATGAACAGCCACGCTGCTATTGGACAGAACACTGGACTGCTACTCATATGCTTCAGCAATACCTCAGTTTCGGTAGTGTGGGGAGGGCTACCTGCGTCTTTCCCTCGATTTACGTGCAAAAACGTCAACTTTTACGTCTATATTCACTGCGTTTGTGTGGCTCTTACCTCTGGGGACAAGGAAAAGCACAGTTCAGATCATATTTGAGGGGATTTAAGCTCTGGGGACCAGGTAACACTCCATATAACGTTACATGTAGGTAATGGGGACCAAATTGGTTATCAACGTTATATTTTGTGTGGCTCTTACATCTGGGCTCTTTTTTTAGCTCTGGGACTAGGTAAGGCAGCTAATACAGGAAACATTTGCACCGTACAAGTAATAATTGCACGGCTGTCAGGTCTGGGGACCAGGTGAGGCACCTTACCGGTGAGTTACGTGTATTTCCTTTGACTTGGGTTGACTATGGACCAGGTGAGGTACCTTACAGGTGAGTTACGTGTATTTCCTTTGACTTGGGTTGACTATGGACCAGGTGAGGTATCTTACAGGTGAGTTATGTGTATTTCCTTTGACTTGGGTTGACTATGGACCAGGTGAGACACCTTACAGGTGAGTTACGTGTATTTCCTTTGACTTGGGTTGACAATAGACCAGGTGAGGCACCTTACAGGTGAGTTACGTGTATTTCCTTTGACTTGGGTAGACTATGGACCAGGTGAGGTACCTTACAGGTGAGTAGAGTAATTTTTCTAGACTTGGGGACCAGGTGAGGTTCCGTACAGGTGAATAGAGTTTATTTTCTAAACTAGGGACCAGGTGAGGTGTCGTACAGGTGAGTACAGTTTATTTTCTAGACTGTAGACCAGGTGAGGTGCCGCACAGGTGAGTAGAGTAATTTTTCTAGACTTTGGGACCAGGTGAGGTGCCGTACAGGTGAGTACAGTTTATTTTCTCTGACTACAGATCAGGTGAGGTGCCGTAAAGGTGAGTAGAGTTTATTTTCTAGACTTGGGGATCAGGTGAGGTGCCGTACAGGTGAGTACAGTTTATTTTCTAGACTTGGGGATCAGGTGAGGTGCCGTATATGTGAGTAGAGTCATTTTTCTAGACTTGGGGACCAGGTGAGGTGCCGTACAGGTGAGTACAGTTTATTTTTTAGACTTGGGGACCAGGTGAGGTGCCGTATATGTGAGTAGAGTCATTTTTCTAGACTTGGGGACCAGGTGAGGTGCCTTACAGGTGAGTACACTTTATTTTCTAGACTTGGGGACCAGGTGAGGTGCTGTTCAGGTGAGTACACTTTATTTTCTAGACTTCGGGACCAGGTGAGGTTCCTTGCAGGTGAGTACAGTTTATTTTCTAGACTGTAGACCAGGTGAGGTGCCGTACAGGTGAGTAGAGTCATTTTTCTAGACTTGGAGATCAGGTGAGGTTCCGTACAGGTGAGTATACTTTATTTCTAGACTTGGGCATCAGGTGAGGTGCCGTACATGTGAGTAGAGTTTATTTCTAGACTTGGAGATCAGGTGAGGTTCCGTACAGGTGAGTATACTTTATTTTCTAGACTTGGATCAGGTGAGGTGCCGTACATGTGAGTAGAGTTTATTTTCTCTGACTGTAGGCCAGGTGAGGTGCCGTACATGTGAGTAGAGTTTATTTTCTAGACTAGGGACCAGGTGAGGTTCCGTACAGGTAAAAAGTTGCTCTGCTCTTGGGTTTAAGGACCAGGTAAGGTACCGAACAGGTAATAATTGCACGGCTCTTAGGTCTGGGGACCAGGTAAGGCACTGTGCAAGTAATATATGCACGGCTCTTAGATTTGGGGACCAGGTAAGGCATCGTACAGGTAATACTTGTGCGGCTCTTAGGTCTGAGGACCAGGTTAGGCACTGTACAGGTAATATCTTAGGTCTGAGGACCAGGTTAGGCACTGTACAGGTAATATTTGCAGAGCTCTTAGCTCTGGGGACCAGGTAAGGTACCATACATTTGCATGCGTGCATGTGGCCCCTTTTTATCTGGGGACCAGGTAAGGCACTAATGTATAGGTATATTTGCATTGTCCTTTATCTTCAACTAAGAGACTATACAGGTAATGTTTGTTCGTAATGGTTCATAGCTCTTGAGACCTGGTAAGACCATACACTTCAGATACGTTTGGTCTTTTGTACCTAATTTTTGGTTATTGACATCTCTGTATATATATACTGCTGGCCTAGATTATTTCTCTTTTTTCAGTGCATTTGCCAAAAAGGAGAAACTGATCACACAGCAGGAGCTGGAGATGTCTATGCATCACATTCTGGAATTCTTGGAAGTGCCAGCTTTACTTCTCAACAAGAACATGAATGCTGAACCCTGACTTATGTTATATTAATTCTGAAAGGTTGTTTCACCAAATGGTAGAATAACTAGAACTTAGTAGAAGTAAATTGTATGATGAGCTGCACAAAAATTCTGCATTTGTTTGTTTGCTTGTTTGTTTTCTATTTGTCTGAGTCGCATGTACATGTATAACAATATTTATAAAACTGTTTAAGGCCATACCAATTTAATTTCTTGGTTAACGGCTTCGCCTGCTTCATTTTTTCTGATTTGCAAATAAAAAAAATTCAGAATCAACCTCAAAATGCTCATATTTGCCCTTAACAGTTAAAAACAGTCATTTTCATCCTACTTGTTACAGTTATTCCATCTTTCAATGCAATGGTATCATTAAAAGTTCAAAATCCATTGTTTAAATGTTGAACCAGCGTTTACTTCATGGCTCCATAATAGGATGCCTAGGCCTGTTTTTATTTTTTTATTTTCGTCCCGCCCACTCCATTATTTTTCTAGAAAATCTGTTAACCAAGAAATTAAATTGGTGTGGCCTAAGGCATAACATTTTATAGTAACTAGATTCATTACCTCTAGTACCTCTGGACATTTCCCGTATATTGATAATGCATTGTATATTATTTTTAGCACAATTCAATTATTATTAAAGCTGAAAATACACCTTTTCACTCTTGTTTCGATAGACTTTTATTTTCAGTGTAGTTCAAGTCAGTATACAATACATGAACTGCAAATACACAGCATCAAAATCATGTATCCCGCCATAATACTTGAACGCACGCCTGTCATTAACAATCCCAGTACTAGTAGTGACCGAGTAAAGACTAAAACGACTGTAGAATGAACGGTCTGTGCAGTTTGGAGGTAATGTACTTGATGGAAAGGACAGCCTTAATCGGAAGTTAATCCGTTTAGGACTTTTTCCATGGTTGCACTCAAGCTTTCTTGAGGAACGTAAACCTTTGTTTTAAAAAGTTTAGAGAAATCTATGCTTTCATGGCGCAAATTTCAACTGAAAATGACTCGATGACCAAATACGGTATCAGATATCTGGAATGAAAAACAGTTAATATGAATATGGTGATGCTGGCATCTGTATGCTATATGGCCAGTTTAACTGCCCATTGGCATAATGGTACATTACATTAGATAATGCTGGAGAAAACTAGAGTTTAGTAGCCTGATACCCTTTCTGAGGCAGCAGTTTTCCTGGGTAGCATTTTGAAGAGAGATTGTCTCAAAGATCAGGTCATCCAAGTTAAATTTTACCAGGTAAAGTACAGTACAGGTGACGTAGGTGTGTTCTGGGCACTAAAGATCAGGTAAGACCAGGTAAGGTACCACACAGGTAACATAGGTGTGTTTCTGGGCACTAAAGACCAGGTAAGACCAGGTAAGGTACCGTACAGGTAACATAGGTGTGTTTCTGGGCACTAGAGACAAGGTAAGACCAGGTAAGGTACCGTACAGGTAACATAGGTGTGTTTCTGGGCACTAGAGACAAGGTAAGACCAGGTAGTGAACCCAAGTCAAAGGAAATACACGTAACTTACACGTAACTCACCTGTAAGGTGCCTCACCTGGTCTATTGTCAACCCAAGTCAAAGGAAATACACGTAACTCACCTGTAAGGTGTCTCACCTGGTTTATTGTCAACCCAAGTCAAAGGAAATACACGTAACTCACCTGTAAGGTGCCTCACCTGGTTTATTGTCAACCCAAGTCAAAGGAAATACACGTCAGTCACCTGTAAGGCGTCTCACCTGGTCTATTGTCAACCCAAGTCAAAGGAAATACACGTCAGTCACCTGTAAGGTGTCTCACCTGGTCTATTGTCAACCCAAGTCAAAGGAAATACACGTAACTCACCTGTAAGGTACCTCACCTGGTCCATAGTCAACCCAAGTCAAAGGAAATACACGTAACTCACCTGTAAGGTGCCTCACCTGGTCCCCAGACCTGACAGCCCTGCAATTATTACTTGTACGGTGCAAATGTTTCCTGTATTAGCTGCCTTACCTAGTCCCAGAGCTAAAAAAAGAGCCCAGATGTAAGAGCCACACAAAATATAACGTTGATAACCAATTTGGTCCCCATTACCTACATGTAACGTTATATGGAGTGTTACCTGGTCCCCAGAGCTTAAATCCCCTCAAATATGATCTGAACTGTGCTTTTCCTTGTCCCCAGAGGTAAGAGCCACACAAACGCAGTGAATATAGACGTAAAAGTTGACGTTTTTGCACGTAAATCGAGGGAAAGACGCAGGTAGCCCTCCCCACACTACCGAAACTGAGGTATTGCTGAAGCATATGAGTAGCAGTCCAGTGTTCTGTCCAATAGCAGCGTGGCTGTTCATCGTCACGCGTACTACGGCACTTCCGGTGACCTCCAGTGACCTCCGCCTCGTTTTCGACCCCTACCCTTAGCCCAATGTGAAAAAGTATCTCCCGCTTTGAGATCTTCACCCCAGGGCCTGGTTTGTGGAAAGAACGATCCAGCCCGGAAGACGGAAAAGGGAGCCTGGCCGTGCATGTCAAACACTGAAAGGGCTGCAAGAAGCAACGTCATATTAAGTAACGTTCCTGGTAATTTCAGATTATGGCATTTGCACTTCACGCTACTTACATTACGTAATTGTACCACGCTATGTAATGTTACTTACAGCATAGGTTTGAAAACCCTTCAGTCTAAACAGTTATTTTCTTCATATGACTTTATATCTGACACTGTGTGTACTGCCTGTAGGAAGAAGAGCGGGACAGTCGCAGTCTTTTAAAAGTGACTTTGGTGGAAAAAGTAACCCACTGGTACAGTATGCCATAAACCACTCACTCCGAGAACACCCCTGTCTTCACAAGCTTAGACAGGTAAGGAACAATTAGGGACTGTACGATATTTACCAGGGAGGGGGGCCCGGTCGTCCGGGGGTAGCGTAAAAAAAAATTTCCTAGGCCCTCCCCCCGGCTCAAAAAATTTTTCCTAGGCCCTCCCCCCGGCGTGAATCACAGAGAGTGAAATTTCGTATGGGGAGGACAACATTTTGATTGAAAATTTTCCCCTCCCCCCTCAGAGGACCGGCCCTCCCTCCCCGGTAAATATCGTACAGTCCCTTACGTACTCCAGAAGTGTGGAAACAAGATTTCAGTCATTAATAAGCTCTAGCTGTTGTTGTGTACACTTTATTTATTTATTTGTTTATGAAGTTTTACCATGTACAATGTGCACTGTGGATGGCATGGCGAAACAGGTGTTTCTGACATGAAATACCTTTTTAAAGCCGCCATACCAATAAGATGACAATACAAAAAGTAATCAAATCACATAATACAATTTGAGAAACAAATGAATATTTTTATTTATTCCAAAATTGCAACATGACAATGCAACATGACAAATGAATAAACTTAGAACTACAAGGCAAGTCAACTTATTAATTATTAACATTGTGAGAGTTATTGATTCGAGACAACAAATAACGACATTTATATAGCCAGCTGTGATATCACAGCTGTTAGCGCGGTCTTGTGGCCAGACAAGTAGCGCAACCACAAGATAACTGCCTCGTACAAGGTTGCTCTAAACTGTAGGTTTGGCAAAATCTGTTGCCAATTGCAAATTCAATTTGTTGCATAACTTCACACAGCACACTTCAGACTTCACTTTTTACACATTATCTTTGGAAAGGGTATCAAACTCTCATTACCCTTGTAACAGTGGGGGGTTTATAGGCGCTACCAGCTGACCCGGCCGACGGGTCTAAGACCTTTTAGCCGAACTGTCAGAGCGTGATCGGCATGTGGACTGGTGCTAGTGGGTTTGGTCGTGGGTTCGAACCCCGGCCCGGGACCAGGGTTTTTTATCTGTTTCTACTGATCACTCCTCCTGTTTCTTACACCCTTTACAACAATTTTATCCTTAAAAGGAGGTTTAAAAGGAACCTCCTTGCAATGATAGAATGTGATATCACAACCTAACTGCCTGAAACCTATCGCTGAAATATTGCATGACCTTATTGCCTCCAAGTCTATTCTATATATTGAATACATGTACTTTAAGTAAACTATATATCTTCCATATGATGATTAAACCTTGAAGTGTGTGTTCCAAAGTGTTGCTTTAACCCCTGATTATCTGTTGTATTAAGTTACATAGAAGAGAAAAGAAGCTTAAGGCCACACCAATTTAATTTGTTGGTTCTCGGATTCGCCTCTTCATTTTTGTCTGATTTGCAAAAAAAAAAAAATTCTGGTTCTGAGTCAACTAAAAAATGCTCATATTTTGCCCCCAACAGTTGAGAAAAGTCCCTTTCTTCCTAGCTCTTACAGTTTTTCCATCTATCAATGCAGTGGTTTCATTTGAAGTTCAAATTTCATTGCTCAAATTCTAACCCAGCCTTTTGTGTTGACTTCATGGCTCTTATCGAAGCATTTG